GGTGGGAGCATTTAATCCATTTACATTTAAGGTAATTATCGATATATATGTTCCTATTCCCATTTTCTTAATTGTTTTGGGTTTGTTATTGTAGGTCTTTTCCTTCTCTTGTGTTGCTTGCCTAGAGAAGTTCCTTTAGCATTTGTTATAAAGCTGGTTTGGTGGTGCTGAACTCTCTCAGGTTTTCCTTGTCAGTAAAGATTTTAATTTCTCCATCAAATCTGAATGAGATCCTTGCTGGGTAGAGTAATCTTGGTTGTAGGTTTTTCTCCTTCATCACTTTACATATGTCCTGCCACTCCCTTCTGGCTTGCAGAATTTCTGCTGAAAGATCAGCTGTTAACCTTATGGGGTTTCCCTTGTGTGTTATTTGTTGTTTTTCCCTTGCTGCTTTTAATACGTTTTCTTTGTATTTAATTTTTGATAGTTTGATTATTATGTGTCTTGTGTTTCTCCTTGGATTTATCCTGTATGGGACTCTCTGTGCTTCCTGGACTTGATTAACTATTTCCTTTGCCATATTAGGGAAGTTTTCAATTATAATCTCTTCAAATATTTTCTCAGTGCCTTTCTTTTTCTCTTCTTCTTCTGGGACCCCTATAATTCGAATGTTGGTGCATTTAATGTTGTCCCAGAGGTCTCTGAGACTGTCCTCAGTTCTTTTCATTCTTTTTTCTTTACTGTGCTCTGCAGTAGTTATTTCCACTATTTTATCTTCCAGGTCACTTATCGGTTCTTCTGCCTCAGTTATTCTGCTATCGATCCCTTCTAGAGTATTTTTAATTTCATTTATTGTGTTGTTCATCGTTACCTGTTTCCTCTTTAGTTCTTCTTGGTCCTTGTTAAATGTTTCTTGCGTTTTCTCTATTCTATTTCCAATATTTTGGATCATCTTTACTATCATTATTCTGAATTCTTTTTCAGGTAAACTGCTATTTCCTCTTCATTTGTTAGGTATGGTGGATTTTTACCTTGCTCTTTCATCTGCTGTGTGTTTTTCTGTCTTTTCGTTTTGCTTATCTTACTGTGTTTGGGGTCTCCTTTTCGCAGGCTGCAGGTTTGTAGTTCCCGTTGTTTTTGGTGTCTGTCCCCAGTGGCTAAGGTTGGTTCAGTGGGTTGTTTAGGTTTCCTGGTGGAGGGGACTAGTGCCTGTGTTCTGGTGGATGAGGCTGGATCTTGTCTTTCTGGTGGGCAGGTCCACGTCTGGTGGTGTGTTTGGGGGTGTCTGTGGCCTTACTATGATTTTAGGCAGCCACTCTGCTAATGGATGGGGCTGTGTTCCTGTCTTGCTAGTTGTTTGGCATAGGATGTCCTGCACTGTAGCTTGCTGGTCGTTTTTGCACCTTTTTGTATTATGTGGAGCTGGGAGGTCTCTTGTGGACCAGTGTCCTGAAGTTGGCTCTCCCACATCAGAGGCACAGCAGTGACTCCTGGCTGCAGCACCAAGAGCCTTTCATCCACACGGCTCAGAATAAAATGGAGAAAAGTAGAAAGAAAGAGAGAGAGAGAGAGAGAGAGAGAGAGAGAGAGAGAGAGAGAGAGGAAGGGAGGGAGAGAGGGAGAGGGAGGGAGGGAGGGAGGGAGGGAGGAAGAAAGGAAGAGAAAGAAAGGAAGGAAGGAAGAAAAAATAAAGATAAAATAAAATAGTTATTAAAATAAAAAATAATTATTAAGGAAAAAAACTTTTTTAAGTAAAAAAACAAAAGAACAAACAAAAATGGATGGACAGAACTCTAGGACAAATGGTGAAAGCAAAGCTATACAGACACACAGTTTCACACAGAAGCATACACATACACATTCACAAAAAGAGGAAAAGGGGAAAAAATAATATATTTTGCTCTCAAAGTCCACCTCCTCAATTTGGGATGATTTGTTGTCTATTCAGGTATTCCACCGATGCAGGGTACATCACCTTGATTGTGGTGATTTAATCCGCTGCTCCTGAGGCTGCTGGGAGAAATTTCCCTTTCTCTTCTTTGTTCACACAGCTCCGAGGTTAAGTTTTGGATTTGGCCCCGCCTCTGTGTGTAGGTCACCGGAGGGTGTCTGTTCTTCTCTCAGACAGGACGGGGTTAAAGGAGCAGCTGATTCGGGGGCTCTGGCTCACTGAGGCAGGGGCACGGAGTGCAGGGCGAGCCTGCGGCTGCAGAGGCCAGCATGACATTGCACCAGCCTGAGGCGCGCCATCCGTTCTCCCGGGGAAGTTGTCCCTGGATCACGGGACCCTGGCAGTGGCGGGCTGCACAGGCTCTGGGAGGGGAGGTGTGGATAGTGACCTGTGCTCGCACACAGGCTTCTTGGTGGCGGCTGCAGCGGCCTTAGCTTCTCAGGCCCGTCTCTGGGGTCCATGCTGATAGCCGTGTCTCGCGCCCGTCTTTGGAGCTCCTTTACGCAGCGCTCTTAACCCCCTCTCCTCGCGCACCAGGAAACAAAGAGGGAAGAAAAAGTGTCTTGCTTCTTCGTCAGGTCCACACTTTTCCCCGGACTCCCTCCCGGCTGGCCATGGTGCACTAACCCCTTCAGGCTGTGTTCACGCCCCCAGTCCTCTCCCTGTGCTCTGACCAAAGCCCGAGCCTTAGTTCCCTGCCCCCGCCCGTCCCGGCGGGTGAGCAGACAAGCCTCTGGGGCTGGTGAGTGCTGGTTGGCACCGATCCTCTGTGCGGGAATCTCTCCGCTTTGCCCTCCGCGCCCCTGTTGCTCTGCTCTCGTCCGTGGCTCCGAAGCTTCCCCCTCCGCCACCCGCAGTCTTCGCCCAGGAAGGGGCTTCCTAGTGTGTGGAAACCTTTCCTTCTTCACAGCTCTCTTCCCCTGGTGCAGGTCCTGTCACTATTCTTTTGTCTCTGTTTATTCTTTTTTCTTTTCCCCTACCCAGGTACGTGGGGAGTTTCTTGCCTTTTGGGAGGTCTGAGGTCTTCTGCCAGCGTTCAGTGGGTGTTCTGTAGGAGTTGTTCCACGTGTGATCTCCACATCTTACTCTTCGGCCATCTTCCCCCTCTCCCCTGAAAATTCTTAACTCTTGATAAATATTGTGACTTTCAGAAAGACCATGCTCATTTACAGTCCCAGAACCAGTATTTGATGATGCCAAAGCTCAACTCATTGCAACACTTGATATTATCATTTAAAACAATCTATGGCATTTGGAATAGGTTTAAAAAGTGGTATCTCAAATTTTAGTTTTAAAATTTTAGTTTTAAATAATGGTCATATGGTACTGAATCACTTAATGACAATTGTGTATATTGCCTAGGGAGACCTAAAACACCTCAAATTTCTAAAGCTTTGTCAAATTCCATTTTCCCTTTGATACAGTTAAAACATTGGAGATGAGAAAAGTGACTGCTATTGTAGGTGATGGTCCGGGGAAAAACTTAAGTAGCTAGTAGACAAGCTAAGAAGAACAGAGATATATTGCAAAGAATAGCCTGCCATTGGTAGGCAAATAAAAATAAGTGCCTGCTGGTGCCCCTTGTTTTTTCTTCCTAATACCTTTTTACACTTCTAGTAGTTAGATTTCCAAATAGAGTTACTGATCTCTTCATCTTCTTTCTGAACCAAATTCCTCTGACATGTCTGTGTATATTTTTGTTTCCTTTTAGTCATACCAAAAATGTCATCAACCAAATTTCATTTAAGGGTATAGAATATACTTTATATTGTTACTTAATATTAAAATTTTTATATCAGCAAAAGTGTGCATTTTGCATTGCCTTATAATAGCAATTCCTAAAGCAAAGTGTTAGTTTTTTTATAGTTATTTCATTCAGTGATTATTTCTTGAATCAGACAGATTTAAATAGAGAATTAATCTGCTTTTTAGGTTCTGAAAAAATACAAGTTGATGTTTTTAAGTTTTGTCCATTTTCCCCCTAAATTTATAGTGACAGTTAAGGCTTGTTGCATTGATTTTGTGATATGATTTCAAACACAGTATATAAATGTTAGCAATGAGGAATTTAAAAGACTTAAGATTATTATTTAAAATGGTCCTAATAGTTTTTTTAATAATTTCCAAAGGAACTGTTGGGAAGCAGTCATTGTTAGAAAAGCTTTAAACTATATGGAAAATCTATATAGTAGTTGTTAATGAAAAAAATTATATGTGGTAATATTGATAGCCTTACAGCATTGGGAGTCCTGTGTTGTAATGTCATTGACCTCTGTCATTGACCTCCGGCATTGACCTCCGGCATTGACCTCCGGCATTTCTTTGTTTCCAAAGGGATTCTAATAGATGGCTGATTCGACTAGCCTGGCTTCTTTCCTGGGATCCTTGGGGTTCTTCCCAGTGGCATTCCCACTATCTAACATCACTCCTTGGTTCACTTCTCTCATGTTTCTTCTTTACCTGCTCTAAGTGGAGTAAAGTGTTATCAGTTGTTCAACTGTTGACAGACTCACTGAGGGTGTCACTAAACCGTATTTGTTGCCTCTAAATACAGCCTAGATCCCTGTCAGTCTTTTACCAGGGCATAAAAGTGTTTGCCATATGCCATCAGTAATTAGGCCGCTTTAAACTCTTTTTAACTGAGGCACCAAAGACAGAGGAATGTGCCTCTTGACTGTTCTTCCCCAGAACTCTCATCAAGTTTAAAGCTTGCTTTGAAGTGATATGTAACTCCTTGGCCCGAGGGATGAATGGGGCAGTTTTCCATATCCAGTACTGAAGGATATGGTCTGCAAGCAAGTGGCACTGTGAAACAACATCCACGTACATGGACCAACATATTTTGACTTGACCAGAGCTTTTACTCTTGATCAGTTTGGTGTGTGTACGTACATATGAACGGCTTGATATTCAAATATCTTTCTTTCCAGCAATTAAGTTTTAGTGTCTCTATTCTTGCAGCGAATACGTTTCAGAAAGATTTTGGTTTTGTGTATCCTGTCAGTGATCTCGTATGTAGAAGCTTATACTATAAAATCCTGAATGATGAAATCTTTTGATACTTTTTTTCAGCATGAAAATTCTCTCCAGAATGAATAAATACATGATTATGTAAAAAATTGGTTCTGTTTTTGTTTTGGTATAGTTCTGAAACTTATTATTTTGTATTTCTAATTTAGGTGTGTCTACTTGCCATTTTGCCTGGGCTTTTCATTCTGAGGCTGAGGAAGAGCTGATTAATATGATTCCGGCAATTCAGAGAGGGGACCCTCAGTGGTCTGAGTTAAGAGCTATGGGAATAGGTTGGTGGGTGAGGAATATTAACACTCTTCGAAGATGCATTGAAAAGGTAACTTTACTTCATTGGATTTTGAAGTTAAGTCTTTTCTTAAAGCATAAAAGGTATTATCTTCCAGAAAACCTGTGGTGAGGGATTAGTATGTACATCTTGAGATCTTGAGAACTTCTTAAATAAAAATTTTTGGACCTTTAAAACTAAAACTTGACCTTTATAAAATGTCCAAGCAGTATATCAATTGTCTTTTGCCATATATACTAAGTATATAATATGTATGGAACAGATATTTTCTGCTATCAGTTGAGGTGCATCCTAGTTTAAGAAAATACAAACTGTATGTCAGTTACATACATTACATAGAAAAAAAGTTCTCTTCATTCATTCATTTATTTATTTATGCATGCTGCACTGCATGGCTTGCGGGATCATAGTTCCCCAACCAGGATGGAACCCGCACCCCCTGCAGTAGAAGCACAGAAACGTGGAGTCTTAACCTCTGGACCTCCAGGGAAGTCCCAAATCATTCTTTTTATATAAAAGATTCTCTGCATGGCTAGGTTAATAAATACCAAACTTCCTGTGCACTTTTAAAATACCATTCAAAAAATTTTGATTTGTGTGCACTTGAAGAACATATCTATGGCAGCAAATGACACATACTATAAATTTCTTTTTTAACTTATTTAATTAATTTTGTTTTTGCTACGTTGGGTCTTTGTTGCGGTGCGCGGGCTTCTCATTGCAGCGGCTTCTCTTGTTGCAGAGCACGGGCTCTAGGCGCTAGGGCTTCAGTAGTTGTGGCACGTGGACTCAGTAGTTGTGGCGCATGGGCTTAGTTGCTCTGCGGCATGTGGGATTTTCCTGGACGAGGGATTGAACCTGTGTCCCCTGCATTGGCAGGCGAATTCTTAACCACTGCGCCAACAGGGAAGTCCCCTCATGCTATAAATTTTAAAATGGGTTTTTGGAATCAGTTTTCTAGTAGAAAATAGAATTGTTAAAAAATTTTTAGTAGAAGCTGAAAATTCTTTCAGTGTTGCAGAAACTAACCATTATTGAGCACCTTTTGTGTACCAGGTTTGGTTCTAGTTGCTTTTCATAAATTATTTCATATAATCTTCTCGTCAGCTGTATGTTACCATCTCGATTTTCCACCTGATGGAACTAAGACTCAGAGAGGTTGGGTAACCAGCCCAAACTCCCATCATTTAGAAGTGTTAGATTTAGTCTGTGCCCTTTCTACTCTGTCGTGATTAGGAGAGTGGGATTGTCATTGTTTTGTTTACTTTTAGGAGTCCATTGAAATTCTCAGAAGTACGATTAATGATACTACATTTGTGGAGTATGAATTCATTTCCCCCAAGAGGAATTTATTCCTCTACAGTAGTAGTTTCTAAATTTTAGTGTTTGAAGAATCACCTGGCAAACTTGTTTGAAACATACATCCCTCACTTCCACTCTCAGAAGTTTTCATTTAGTGGGTTGGAGGTGGTAGGGCTGTGGCATCTTCATCTGAATTAGCATCCTGTGATTCTGGTGTTCATGGTCCTCACATCACAGTTTGAAATGTAAGTGTAAAAGTGTCATTTTCCTGCTACATGTAAGGCTGCCAATAATATATAAGTATTTCTCTTCTCAAAATAGGCAGATGTAAGAAGGAATTTGTTCTCATACCAACCAAGAGATGTAGTTTCTGATGTACAGGGAAATTAATTGTTATAGCATATAAATTACACAATATCTACGTTAATTTTTTTTTTTTTTGGCCACGCCACATGGCTTGTGGGATCTTAAGATTGTTCCCAGACCGGGGATTGAACCTTTGCCCTCGGCAGTGAAAGCACCACTCGAGTCCTAACCACTGGACCACCAGGAAGTCCCCATTAATTTTTTTTCATATCCCAAAGCAATGGAAAAAGAGGAGGACATATTTTATCTGAAATGTTCTACAAAGTCTCTTCAGTTTCTTGTCATCAGTGTGTTGTGTCATTGTAATTGAGTATTTCTGATATATACGTATGATTTATTTCCACAAGTAATTTATCTCTTAAAATTAAATCGAAAGGAAATGTAAAATTTTTTCCCTTGAAATATATGTTATATTGGGTTGGCCAAAAGGTTCATTCGTTTTTTTCTGTAGGCTGGCTCTAGTAGCACTTAGTTGTCTTCAACTTCATTTGAAACAAATTTTTAGATTGTATTGTGACAGCTGTCATATGAGCACGGATTTAAAAAACGCTTATCAGAATTGGTGAATTTTTGTGTAGCCATTTTAATATTGAAGATAGAAGGAAAAAAGCAACACTTTCAGCATATTATGCTTTATTATTTCAAGAAAGGTAAAAACACAACTGAAACGCAAAAGAAGATTTGTGCAGTGTATGGAGAAGGCGCTGTGACTAATTAAACATGTCAAAAGTGGTTTGCGAAGTTTTGTGCTGGAGATTTCTCGAGAAGCTGGACGATGCTCCACGGTCGGGTAGACCAGTTGAAGTTGATAGGGATCAAATCGAGACATTAACTGAGAACAGTCAACGTTATACCACGCGGGAGATAGCCGGCATACTCAAAATGTCCAAATCAAGCATTGAAAATCATTTGCACCAGCTTGGTTACGTTAATCGCTTTGATGTTTGGGTTCCACGTAAGTTAAGCGAAAAAAACCTTCCTGACCGTATTTCCTCATGGGATTCTCTACTGAAAGGTACCAAAAACGTTCCGTTTCTAAAACAAATGGTGATGGGTAATGAAAAGTGGATACTGTACAATAATGTGGAATGGAAGAGATCATGGGGCAAGCGAAATGAACCACCACCAACCACACCAAAGGCCAGTCTTCATCCAAGAAAGGTGATGTTATCTATATGGCGGGATTGGAAGGGAGTCCTCTATGATGAGCTCCTTCTGGAAAACCAAACGATTAATCCCAACAAGTACTGCTCCCAGTTAGACCAACTGAAAGCAGCACTTGACAAAAAGCATCTGGAATTAGTCAACAGAAAACACATAATCTTCCATCAGGATAATGTAAGACCACATGTTTCTTTGATGACCAGGCAAAAACTGTTACAGCTTGGCTGGGAAATTCTGATTCATCTTCTATATTCATCAGACATTGCACCTTCGGATTTCCATGTATTTTGGTCTTTACAAAGTTCTCTTAATGGAAAATATTTCCATTCCCTGGAAGACTGTAAAAGGCACCTGGAACAGTTCTTTGCTCAAAAAGATAAAAAGTTTTGGGAAGATGGAATTATGAAGTTGCTTGAAAACTGGCAGAAGGTAGTAGAACAAAACAGTGAATACGTTGTTCAATAAAATTCTTGGTGAAAATGAAAAATGTATATTTTATTTTTACTTAAAAACCAAAGGAACTTTTTGGCCAGCCCAAAAACTCATTAGCTGAAGATGAATAAAAATTCTTGTAAGAATTATTAAACATTGAAGTACTAAGTTAAATGATTGAAGGCAGAGAAAATACTGAAAAAGGGGAAGAGGAATAAAAGCATTTTGGTGATGTGATTTTAGGTGTCTTTACTCCTCTTTACCATGCCTTGGTGGCTTCCTGCTCTACCATCAGTCAGTGTTCATTAATAAAACATCCATTGTTTTTAATCGTTATACCTCTCAACTTAGTTATTTGCAGAGGTTATATCAGTATCTTTGAGAAATATGTGGTCTGTATGGTACTGTATTCAAAACCGTATGATTATGTACAACAGTGTTACTGGCTTAATAATTTTTAAACTTACATTGAGTTGATTGGTTCTTTATAAATTCAGCAACTTTGGTCATATGGCTCAAAGGAGGTTATTATCAGTTATGGTACAAGGGGAATTATGTATTCATTAAGGCTTTTTCTCATGGAATTTCTAAGAACTAAAATTTGAAAGCCCTTCAAAATAATGGAGCTTCAACCACCTGTGTTTTAATTACATGCCAGAAAGAATGTGTCAGTCCTTCAGAACTGTCAGAATTTGATTGAAAAATACCGGAGGGCTTCCCTGGTGGCGCAGTGGTTAAGAATCTGCCTGCCAATGCAGGGGACATGGGTTCGAGCCCTGGTCTGGGAAGATCTCACATGCCGCGGAGCAACTAGGCCCATGAGCCGCAACTACTGAGCCTGCGCGTCTGGAGCCTGTGCCCCGCAATAAGAGAGGCCGTGACATTGAAAGGCCCGCGCACCATGATGAAGAGCGGCCCCCGCTTGCCGCAAATAGAGAAAGCCCTTGCACAGAAACAAAGACCCAACACAGCCAAAAATAAATTAATTAATTAATTTTAAAAAATACTGGAAAATTATGTTTAAAGAAAAAAACTAAAACATTAATTTTTGTATTTTTCAAAATGTGTGTGTATGCATGTGCGTGAGTATAACTGATATTTATTTACAGTTGTCTGTATCAGTATTAGTTGAGAGAGCTTTGAAATGTGAAATCGCATATACATACCATAGAAGTCAGCATTTTAACTTTTACAAAACATTAAGAAATTTAATATGTCTAATTTTCAAGAAAAGGTCTCACTGGGAATTCCCTGGTGGTCCGTGGTTAGGACTCTGTGCTTCCACTGCTGGGGGCCCGGGTTCGATCCCTGGTTGGAGAACTAACTTCCTGCAAGCTGTGCAGCACAGCCAGAAAAAAAAAAAAAGAAAAGAAAAGGTCTTACCTATCAAATATTCTGCATTCTTTATTGTTTCCTATCTTAGACAGTTTTATTACTACCTGGGTTCTAATCCCTTTTACACCCCTTACTTACTGTGTGACCTTAGGCAATTCAGTTAACCTCTTTGTGTCTCAGTCGCCTCATGTGTAAAATGGGGATAATAATAGTACCTCTTGGATCGTGGTGATTCAGTAAGATAAGTGAAAGGTACATGGTAAGTAGTCAGTAAATACTAGTTGCTGTTATTATTTTTATTGTAATTACTGGTATACAAAGGGTTGTTTTTAGGAGCATGTATTATAAGCTACTGGCGATTGTGGAATAGAGTCAGCTCTTCCCATCTGCATAGTTTGTGTCATCCATGGAAGTAGTAGGGAAGCATTAATTGTTGTAATTTGTTTATCAACTAGTTAATTCAGTATAACTTTTTATTGACTGTTTAGGTTGCCAAAGCTTCTTTTCAAAGGAACAATGATGCCTTGGATGCTGCATTATTCTACCTTTCAATGAAGAAGAAAGCAATAGTGTGGGGTCTGTTTAGGTAAATTTCCTCAACACTTAATATGGTTTAATGGAATGAAGATTGTGCTGTGACTCAGAAACATAATGCTTTTGAAAGTACTTAGATAAATCAGTTTCCTTTTTTGTGCCTTGATTCCTTTATCTGCAAAACAAATAGAATATCATTTGAACTTAACCTAAAGAGTGGGATATTGTTAAAAATAAGTTGATAAAAGCACTTTGGAAAGTAAAGAGTGCACTTGCTTCCTATTCATGTATACTTAAGGTATTTTGAGTTTTCTCCTTATTAGAAGAAACAAAGAGAAGCTTAATAACAAATACCTACCACTAAAGTTGTTATTGTTCTTCTTTTAGATGGATGTTTGAGGTTTTCATTTTCTATTTTCATATATTCTGTAAAGGATTAAAACTATTTTAAATTTGGTTTAACCACTGATGTTTGTGCTCTGGTTCCCAGGTCACAGCATGATGAAAAAATGACAACATTTTTCAGCCACAATTTTAATGAAGATAGATGGCGTAAAGCCGCTTTGAAAAACGCTTTCTCTTTACTTGGAAAACAACGCTTTGAACAATCTGCTGCTTTTTTCTTGTTAGCTGGTTCATTGAAAGATGCCATTGAGGTATAACTAAGAAAACATGCTATGAAATACCTGTAAGAGCTTGAAAACCTGGGAAGATCATGGAGGAGACTGTAATGTTTGGTCATATGTTTGTAAGGATAGAGGGTAGAGAATAACTACAGAGATTACTAACTTAAATAGTAGCACAATGATAATGGAATTATAAATAAATACATGTAGAAACATAAATGAAAAATTTTATATAGAGAATATTGCATTTCAAGATAAGTATTTCAAGTATAAGTGTATGGAAAAATGGTTTATGAATATCTTTTTCCTGACCATCTTGTGATTCTGAACTATTTAAGTATGTATAGGTCACAATCTCCTTACTTTGTGTAGACAGGCAGATATTTTAAGTTCTTTTTCGTCTAAATGAAATTCATAGATAAGGAACTGAGATTGCAGTTTATACTGTTTTGAAATATAGTCTTAGATATTGGAAGGTGAATGGGAAGAGATAAAACTTCACATTTTTTGATACACAATCTTGGTAGCTGGTTAAGAGAATAATTACAAATATTTCTGTTGTTTATGAGATATTCCTTTTAGGATACCTATTATTATAGTGAATAATCCAAACAGGTGAAGGAAAAACATAATTGGAAATGATATATCATAGAAAAAATAGGAAATATCCAACAAAGTGAAAGTACTTTATGTTTAGAATTAGTCATATTTTCAGAATTATCTCAGATGTATGAGTTTTTAAAGTAACAAATATTTATAATTTTGAAATGGGAAGCTTATCCTAGAAGATACTCAGGCAAAGAAGAGAAATGTTGATTGAGTGAGAGATGCTCATATTGCCTGCATGACCTCAGATTCTCAGATGAGTAGCTACTTTAGAATATAAACTCAGAGTAAGAATAGAGTATGTGGCTTTATTTCTTAAGTTATTTGCTATGTAAGTAGAAGATTCTTTTAAAATAGTAATAATTATGTTTATATGGAAATATATTTGGAAATTAACAGGAACTGATGTACATAAATTTAGATGTCATAAGTGGTATTTAATTTAAAGATGAATGTTATTTGAATTGATCTAAGTCTGAGATGGTGTTGATATACTTCATTTTATGCATTTTTTATAAATGATCTTTCTAGGCTGGAAGCTACTAAGTTCTAGTTTCTTAATCTTCCTGCTATTCCTTAATCTCCTTTCAAGCAAGCATATTACTACCCTTCACTGTCTCAACCTCTGAACCTCTTCCCTCCACTGTGAGAATATAAATAGTGGATAATTTCAGGGTATCAGTTGGATATTTCGTATCTCTAAATAATTATCATTAAATAAGTATTTCTTAATATTTAAATTTATAGGTATGTCTTGAAAAAATGGAAGATATCCAGCTAGCCATGGTAATTGCCCGTTTATATGAATCTGATTTTGAGACTTCATCCACTTATATATCCATCCTAAATCAGAAGATTTTGGGTTGCCAAAAGGATGCCTCAGGATTCGATTGCAAAAGATTACATCCTGATCCTTTCTTACGTAGTCTTGCATACTGGGTAATGAAAGATTATGCCCGAGCCTTGGACACGTTATTGGAACAAACACCAAAGGAGGATGATGAACGTCAAGGTAGAACATTTTGTGGATTTCTCTTTTTCTTTTTTAAAAGAAGACAGTTTCTGAACTGATGTTCACTTAGATAATACACACACACACACACCCCCCACACACAACCGATCATTACCAGATTTACTTTTCAACTTTGAGAAATTAGTATCAAAATTTCTTGTGTGGCTAAAGGTTTAGTCACTTACTATCTATAATTGAATCTAGCATTTTGTTATCATAATTTGAGTAGTAAAAGAAGACTTCACACACATTTTTACTCTCATAGCTATATATCAAGGCATATAAGATTACCATACTATTCTAATTTCATATATATTAGACTGAAGCATACAGAATGTTTCCACATCACACAGCTCTTTCTATGTATCATAATAGCCGGTTTCCTAAAAAAGTGTAAATTTTGGCTGTTACACATGTTGGTTTAGTGTATGGGCCTACAAAAACTTTATTCTTGTGTGGCGAACTTTCTTTACTCTTAGTTATACCAAATAATTTAAATTTTTAAAAGCATTTGGAAGGTATCTAGCAGCATTGTTTGCAATAATTTAGAAAATGGAACATTTTAAATATTCATCAATACAATAGTTATATAAATTATAATATATCCGTACTATAGAAACAGTGTGCTATTAAAAATGGGGTAGAGTGATGTGTTAATATGTGCTGTATTATTAAGTGAAAAACTAAGATATAGAACAATATGGTTCTTGTTGCACTTTATGTATATATGTCGTGCATATACACACGTGTGTGCACACACGTACTGTGTCTGGTTCCCACTCCCTCTCCATTTTTTGTGTTTTGGAACAAATCACAAGAAACTACCGGCACTGGTTATCTTTTGGGAATAGGAGTGGGGAGATACAAGCTTTTACTTTTCATTTTGTACTTTCCATAGTTATAATTTTCTAGCCTTTTATTTTTATTACATATTATTTTTAAACATTAAAAGAGCTTACATGAATAAAGAGATTCAGGCTCAATTTTTACTTCTTCTTTACAAAAAAGAAATATAATATTTTAATACACAGTACCCCCTTATCCACAGGGATTATGTTCCAAGACTCCCAGTGGATGACTGAAATTGTGGGTAGTACCAAATCCTATATAAACTATGTTTTTTTAATATATATATATGATAAAGTTTAATTTATAAATTAGGCACAGTAAGGGATTAACAATGGTGACTAATAATAAAATAAAATAGAACAATTATAACAATATGCTGTAATGAAAGATGTTGTTTCTCTCACTCAGAATCTTATCATACAAATTTATTACCTTTTCCATCTTAACTAAGCACTTACCATGCACTGTGCCCATAACTTTTGAAGTTTGAGGTGTGACAGAAAAACTAGCATGAATTTCTTTTTCCTGCTTCACAATTTCACGGACAGAAGATTCATTCTGACCTTAGATCTTAGTACCCTCAGCTTACAAATTTTTTTACTTTCCTTATTAAATAGAGAACTTTCAAATTTTCACTTAAAGGAAGCACTTACGCTTCTCTTTGGCATAGATGAACTGCCAGCATCACTACTTTTGCACGTGGGGCCGTTATTAAGTATTATAAAATGAGGGTGACTTGAACACAAGCACTATGGTGCCGTGACAGTGGATCTGATAATCCAGGTGGCTACTAAATGACTAATGGGTGGAATACTCTGGACAGGATGGAGCGAGATTTTTGTCGTGCTACTCAGAACCACTCGCAATTTAAAACTTATAAATTGTTTATTTCTGAAATTTTCCATTTAATATTTTTGGACCTCAGTTGACCTCAGGTAACTGAATCCATGGAAAGCAAAACTGCAGAAAAGGAGGGACTACTGTAAATATTTTTAAATTTATTTAAAGGAAAGGAAATAAAACCTTTAGAAGAAAAATATCTGACCTACCCAGGTAATTTTAATAAAATGTACACATTTTTACAGAAGGAAGATTCTGTTTATTTCTTAATCTTTTCCAGGTTAACTTTTAAAAGGTTGTGTGTTATTGGGGAAAATTTTATGTATACATAGAAGAGTGAATGATATAATGAAAGTCTCTGACTCTATCATCCAGTTTCAGTAGTTATCAACTCATAACCAACCTCGAGCCATATATATATTCCCATCCTTTCCACACCCTCCCATTCTCAATACTGTATAGATTCATTTTGAAGCAAACACAACAGATCATTTCATCTGTGAATATTGCAACATGCATCTCTAAAAACTAAGGACTCTTTAAAAAACAATAACACATGTCATTGTTATAACACATAACAATTTTATTAGTAATTAAATACTCAGTCTTCAAATTTCCCTGGTTCTCTCAAAATCTTATACAGTTGATTAATTTGAAACAAGATCCATATGATGCCTATATATTGTGATTGGCTGAGGTGACTCTTATGTCTGTTTTGATCCATATTTAGTTACCCCTCTCCCCCTCCCCCAGTTTATTTGTTAAAGAAGTCGGATTGTTTGTCCTGTAGTTTCTTCTTTTTTTTTAACATCTTTATTGGAATATAATTGCTTTACAGTGTTGTGTTAGTTTCTGCTTTATAACAAAGTGAATCAGTTATACATATACATATGTTCCCATATCTCTTCCCTCTTACGTCTCCCTCCCTCCAACCCCCCCATCCCACCCCTCTAGGTGGTCACAAGCACCGAACTGATTTCCCTGTGCTATGCGGCTGCTTCCCACTAGCTATCTATTTTACGTTTGGTAGAGTATATATGTCCATGCCACTCTCTCACTTTGTCACAGCTTACCATTCCCCTCCCCATATCCTCAAGTCCATTCTCTAGTAGGTCTGTGTCTTTATTCCCGTCTTACCCCTAGGTTCTTCATGACATTTTTTTTTCTTAGGTTCCATATATATGTGTTAGCATATGGTATTTGTCTCTCTCTTTCTGACTTACTTCACTCTGTATGACAGACTCTAGGTCTATCCACCTCACTACAAATAACTCAATTTCGTTTCTTTTTATGACTGAGTAATATTCCATTGTATATATGTGCCACATCTTCTTTATCCATTCATCCGATGATGGACACTTAGGTTGCTTCCATCTCCTGGCTATTGTAAATAGAGCTGCAATGAACATTTTGGTACATGACTCTTATTGAATTATGGTTTTCTCAGGG